AAGCCATGTGTTTGCTCAGACCGCCCCTGCTCTGGAACTTGACTGGGGAGAAGGAAGCCTGCAGACCTGAGTGGCCCTGCCTGTACATTGTTTTGCTGGAATGGGGTGTATGGCCACACACCAAGAGGGGACACTGTGGTCTCTGCCCGCGTTCCTGCTCAGAGCTCCTGAAAGCCCTGTAATTCCCTGAGTGATAAGAGCACAATAGCAGCATCTTTGGTTCTAAGGTTTGGTCTTTGAAATTTTCTTTAATTGCTTCAAACCACAAAGTGGCGAACTGAAAATGAGCCCTTTTAAAAAAGGTACAGATTAAGTTTCCCTTCCACTTAAGGTCCCTCATGTTCACCTCAATTGTGAGTACCTACCTTTAGTTTCCATTTCCTCCTTTCATTTGTGTCGTATTTTCACCATACTTACAGAGAAGTGAGATTGGCCCTGGGGCTGAGCGTACAGTGGGTTAGAATCCTGGTTCACTCTGATCAGCATGGCCTCCATAAGCAGATATCAAGAGAAACTTCTTGCTTTGGAAAATATATCACCCTGTTCCAAGTCTGTACTCCAGAGTAAAGAACCGCGCTTATTCCTGGAAAGATTCCTCACCCCCTCTTTCCTCTTAACGCCCTCCTCTGCTCAGTACCACCCAGTATCTGCCATGAGACTATCAGCACCGGTCTCACTGTGCCCTCTGTTCTCCAACAGTCTCCACAGAACCTCCCAGAGACATCCCCGACCCTCTTTGTGGCTTTATTTTTGTCATTAGTAGGCATCATCTTTTGATATGCTACATATTTTATCATTAGTAGGTATCATCTTTTGATATGCTACATACAGCTGCCTCCCGTACGCCCCCTGCTGGGGATCAAGTCCACAACCCGGGCATGTACCCTTGATCAGAACCAAACCCAGGAGAGCGGGCCCCTGCAGTTACTTACTCTAGTTCCCATCTCACACTATCTGGAATGTTTTCTCTAATTGCACCAAAATTCACAAAAACTTTTGCCTGCACAAATAATTTTTCATTATTCTGATCATCTTTGTTTTTTAAAATATGTTTTTATTGATTTTAGAGAGGAAGGAAGAGGGAGAGCGAGATGGAAACATTGATTATGAGAGAGAATCATTAAGGGCATGTGTCCTTGACTAGAATAAAATCCAGGACCCTTCAGTCCACAGGCCAGTGCTCTATCCACTGAGCCAAACCAGCTAGGGCTGATCATCTTGGTTTTTAACAGGGCTTTGCAGCATCTATTAGGTATTTACTAAGTATTATTGAAAAATTGGTTGAGTTCAGAGTGTCATTATGGCTTAGAGCTGTAGTTTGAGGAGTTTTTAATAGTCTACAGCTTCATTCCAGCCTGTATGCCAGACATGCATTTCTAAAGCTGGGACACTTCAAAGGCATTGTGGATGGCAGTTCACATACCCATCTTCCCAAGCACTAGCAGAAACACAGCTTTCTTTAAACTAGACCCACTGGTGAGTGTTAAGCACATTGGGGGGCAAGGAGATGCACTACCATCGTGCTTGCAGAATCTAATGTCTGTTGTTTTGGGTTTGCATATTGTTTGTTCTGAGAAACTGTTTCACTTCCAGCAGTCATTTCAAAGCATGCACAATATGCTTTTCTTTCATTGCATTAAAGATGTTAACATATTCTTGATCTTGGTCTATCTGGGGAAATGGTAAACAGAAGATGAAGCTCATGAGAGTGGAGTCCAGAAGCAATATTTAGCTTACTACTTTAATTTATTGTACAGGAGTAGATCCAGTCAGTTAAGATTTTACCTTTGGAAGTGGATTATGGCTGCATGTACAAGAGATAAATACTCAGAAAAGGCGATTGTTCTGGTCCATCATCCTATTTCAAACCTAGTATTATATAACTTGCTATTTACATACTGAACTGTATGCGAAGCATTTTGTTTATACTTTTAAATTTTATAAACCTCAAGTGAGGTTTGCTATTATTTTTTAACAGTAGGGAGACTGAAGTTTAGAGAGGTGAAGTGACTTGCCCAAGGTCCCAGAATTGGACATGCAAAACTCTATTCTTAAGTGTAACTGTAGAATTTATATTTCCTGTTTTGTAGTTGTATGTTTTCAACTGTTAAGAACTGAGGAAAGACAGTGGAGGACAATAAAACATGCCTTTTATTCTTGAAATGAATGCTCTCTTCTTCCTACCGCCTTACACTTTTTGGACTCAGAGAAGTGTTGTGCATTGTATTACAAGTAAGTAGTGCAGATGAAGGTTAGAAAGTTCAATTTGGAATAGCACTATGCTTTATTTTATTTATTTATTTTTTTAAAATATATTTTATTGATTTTGTACAGAGAGGAAGGGAGAGAGATAGGGAGTTAGAAACATTGATGAGAGAGAGTCATCGACCAGCTGCCTCTTGCACACGCCCTACTGGGGATATGCCCGCAACTAAGGTACATGCCCTTGACCGGAATCGAACCCGGGACCCTTCAGTCCCCAAGCCGACGCTCTATCCATTGAGCCAAACCAGTTTCGGCATGGAATAGCACTATGCTTTAATAAAATCTTATTATCCTTATGTATTTACTTAATGTTTCCAGCCATCTCTAGTTCAACCAAAAGACAAGTGTGTTTCCAGGAAGCATTTATTCATAAAGCCTTTCAGATTCTCAGATTTCATTTAGTCCTGTTTCAACAGGCCCTGAGGTTCCCTAGCTATGACAGTTGGTTAGAAGCAACAAATCTAGGACAATTTCAAGCAGCGCTGTTACAGACAGAAAGGCTGACTTTTGGTGTAAAGCTCTCAGTGGTAAAGAAAAAGCAAACGTAAAAGCAGACAATTTTAAGAATTGCTTTGCAATCCTTATCTGTACTGCTCTCCAAGACTAAGTAATAACTGATGATCATCAGCTGATTAAATCACAGTACTGGAATTGATCAGAATGATAATCCTGAGTATTATTTTTGAAAGTAAATGATGCTAGGTAGACTCTAATGAGATGGGTTTTCATTTACAGAAGAAGGCAACTTTTGCTGGATAAATGCATGAAGCATTATCACTCTCACTGGGTACAATATGCCCTTATCTTTTAACTTTACAAAGGGCTCCTTTAAAGAAGCTTTGTTGTTATTGAAGTTCACAGTTTGGCCTGTCAGTGCTGCAGATGCCTCCAAGTGTGTCTGTGTGACTGGGGAGGAGACCCCAGGTCTCCTGGCTGTGGACTTTGCAGTTAGCTTGCAGAACCGATTCTCCTTAGACTGTGGGATAGCGCTGTTCATCCTATAAATTATTTACACCCTGATGGTACTAAATGACTACATTAATGGCACCTCTGGCTCCACATGACATCAAGAACCTTAATAATTCATCATTTATTACAGATACATCCCTGTAGGGTAGCAAGAGTGGGAGCTGAGTTTACAACACTGAGATAAGGCCTTTCCTGAAACTTTTCCTTTCCAAACATTATATCCATAAATAGATACTTAGTCATATTTAAAAATAAGGGATAGCCTATTGACTGTTACAAAGCTTTAGATTCTTTAGGTGATTTAAAAAAAATATGTATTACTGATTTTAGAAAGGAAGGGAGAGGGAGAGAGAAACATCAATGATGAGAGAGAATCATTGATTGGGTGCCTTCTGCACACCCTCTATTGGGGATCGAGCCCACAATCCGGGTATGTGCCCTTGACCAGAATTGAACACAGAACCCTTCAGTTTGCTCTATCCACTGAGCAAAACCGACTAGGACTCTTTAGGTGATGTTTATCAAGCATGGTGTAAATTAAGCTCTTAAATGAAGGGGACTAGGTTTTATAGATGGGCAGATATGGAATCTAGTGGAGAACAAGTTACTCCATGGTAGAGATATCGATCAACCTGCATGCATCTGTCAACTGCCTGGGTGGTACAGTGAGATCAAGTGATCTGCAATGTTTCTCTAATCTTCGGCGATTATTGTAATGTGTAATACATCTCTTGGGCATACAGCTTGTGTGGGCTGGATTCCACCTCAGTCTTGTAAAGATACCTGGAAGCATCAAGGCAAAATTTTTTTAAAGCTTATTTAAATATTTAGACTAATGGCTAATTTTAGTGAAATATCTGCTATACTTAATAAACTGTTTGCTAGAAGTGAGATTTCAAGTTGATGGCTTCCTCACTTATCCGCTATGTGACCTTGGATTGACAAATTATTAATCTCTGCCCATTCTGTGCCAGGAAAGGAAGATTATAAGAGTATTTGCCTCATAAAGTTGTGTGGAATTAGGCAGTTCATACGTATAAAGTGTATGGAAGAGTGACTGACGGGCACTCAAACATTAGCTGCTGTCAATGCCATCATCATCTACATAATTGGGAGTAAGATAAATTTACCTTCCCTGATGCTAGATTGTCTTTGTGTTGTTGTTTTTTAAAGGAAGACCACATCTCTGTCAAGGATGTGGTCAACCCCAATTCTCACTGTTTTGACTTGTGAAATCTACGTTTATCTTCAGCTAAAGTGTGATATGGTGTATTACAGTGTTATATATTATACTATATATTATGTAAAGTAAATACTACTTTAAAAAGTACATATTACTTTACATCATATTACTTTGAAAAGCATATATTTGTTTCAAAAGTATAGTATATTATAATAAAGTATAATATCACTAAAATGGTTGAAGAAATTTACAACATTCTGTGAAATGACCTACAAGCTGTCCTGTGAGGAGAAAAAAGCCAGGGCAGAGTAGGGTGCAGATCATCCTACCACTTATCTAAAAATTTTCTGGTGCATAAATATTTGTCAGGTTACACAAGAAATGTTATGTTATCATTTCTTGATGTGGAGAAGGGAAATTGGATGGCTGAAGACAAGGTAAATTTTTATTCATCCTTTATAAAAATTCTTTTTTGTGTTTCCTACCCAAATTTACATTTGATAGGGCTTTTAGGTTCCTATTTTAGTTTTTCTCTTTAAGTTTGCTTCCCAACACTGACTCAAGGATATTTTTTCTCCGTTAGGGATCTGAGTCATAACCGGCTGTCTAACTGGAATGTCAGCTTGGAATCTCAGACATTGCAAGAAGTGTAAGTCATTTTACTTAAATTTACATTAAATTCGAGGTGATTTAGAAGTGCTGTCAAAAATTTGAAGGAAAAACACTTACATTAAAAGACATTGTTTAAAAATACAAACGGACACCTTCAGCTTTATTGTCACAAACTCTGGGCACTGCGCCCTTGGGTTGGGTAGGAATCACCAGCCCTAAGCTGCAGACTCTAGGAGCAGTCTTCCTGGGGCCAAAAGTAAGATTTTCCCTCTTTTGAGAGTAAATACGCTTTGTTTCTTGCCATTAAAACTGTTGTGTAAACTCTTTTTTAAAATGTCTTTTTTGTCTTGTTTTAATAGTTTATTGATTTTTAGAGAGAGAGAGAGAGAGAGAGAGAAACATCAGTGTGAGAGCGAACGTTTATGGGCTGCCTCCTGCACACCGCCTACTGAGACTGAGCCTACAACCCAGGCATGTGCCCTGGCTGGGAATCGAACCAGCAACCTTTTGGTGCATGGGATCACGCACTATTAACTGAGCCACACCGACCAGGGCTCTTTTTTTATGTCTTGACTCATCTAAAATGGGAGCATCATGTCTAAAGTAGACTTACATGTAATACAATACTGTTGGTATCATTTGGAATGCGATGGTTAATAATTCAATTTTCCGCCTGACTGAGGTGCTTCCTTTAATACTGAGATGTATTACTATGTATTCTTTGGAGGAAATATTCTAAAATAGGTTATTATTAGTATCAGTTACTGCACTGTAATGTTCTCAGAGGCACAGGCATCGAGCCTATTGTCCCTTTACCTTAAACACCCCAGAACCGTCAGGTCTATTTTCCTTCCTAGTTTCCCGCTGGCAGGGTAAGCTGGGCACGCATTGCTCCTGCATTCCCTCCCTGCCTGTCTTGAAGTGACTGCTCCTGCTCTGCTACAGAGCGAATAGACAAGTGAGAGGCTTTTCAGCCGAGAGCAGCAGTCGGGGGGAGGTGAAGGCGCGGCAGTAGGCAGTGCAGGAGTCTGAATCACAGGGGCTTTGCAACTTCAGTCGGTTCTTTGGAGGCCTTTTACTTCAGGTTTTTTCCTGTATTTTTTATTGTTGAGATTGTTCATTGATTGAAAACTAGGTTAATGAAATGTGATTATGTTAGATTTGCTACTAAAACATTTGAGACGTTATGTTCTAAAGAGCTACTGGGATCAGATGCTGACATGCCATGCATCTGTAAACTTTAATCACACACTCTCTCTCTGGGTTGGTTAATTTTATCTCTCTCAAGCAATTCTCCCTCACCTTGAATAACTTTAAAATATATATGTATTTTTTCATATGTGTGCATGTGTTTGTATTTTTAAAATTTATATATAATTTCATTATAAATATATAAAATAGATATAGATGTATTAATTACTTTTTCTTTGTTTAAGAAGGACCCAGATCAGCTGTCATAAACATAACTTTCAAAGAATCTTAGTGGGATTAAAAATTTCTAATGTGCAAAGTATTTCCTAACCTTTTAAATATTGAGATCAATCATAGATCTATACCATGAAAAAGCATTTTTTATTAAAACCTCTAATTTCTCAGTTGGAGACGTTTAGTCTTACTCATTATGAGTCATACAGGCTTCTTTCAGATGTGGCATTCATCCTAAAGAATATGTATTAGGCAGTAAACCAGAATTCAATACGTAACATTTCTCTCACTAAACTTTGAAATCTTATTTTCCTCCTGACTAGGAAAATGAATTATAATGAACTAACAGAAATCCCATATTTTGGAGAACCAACCTCTAATATTACTGCATTGTCATTGTAAGTAAATAAGATTTCAGATCTTTTACTTAAATTATAAATAGTACACGGATTTTTGTTTGTTTGTTTGTTGTAAGCACCCTTATTGTTGGTCCCAGTTATTTAACATTCTTGTGGCCTGGGGCGGATCACTGGCAGCAGCTTCACTATAACCTTTGCTTTGTAGAGTCCATAATATGATTGCAGAAATAAATGCAGAGGAGTTCCAGTTTTACCCTGCTCTCGAGAGCTTAGATCTCAGTTCAAACCTGATATCAGAAATCAAGACCGCTTCCTTTCCTCGAATGCAGCTGAAATACCTGTAAGTGAAATAGAGTTTAAACTGGACTTACTTTCAAGTGCATGTCTGTTACTGTGATTTTTATGTGCTTATGTGAATCAAGTCAGTTTTTTGGGGTTTGGGGGATTTTTTTTTCTCCCCTTAAAGAAAGTATACTATTTTCAGAAAATATTGGTGAGTATCCAGGATAATTTTTAAATTCTGGATTGTGTTTATTAACACTTTTATAAAAGATAACTAGGAGTAGTTTGATAAACAGCAGTTTAACCTATATAGTGATGATAACTAGCATGTGCATTAGTGTTTTACAGTTTACAAGCATATTCACACATACTGTTTTAACCCAAATGAAGTAGTTATTATCCTCATTTTCTAGTTGAAGAAGCAAAGCAGTTAAATGGTTTGTGAAGTTGCACTCAGCTGCCTGGTGGTAGAGCTGGGCTCAGTCATAGACTTCGGGCAGCTTTCCTCTGGTAAATTTTTATTTCACTGATTTTTTGTTAATCATTTTTCATTTTAGGAATTTGAGTAATAATAGGATAACCGTTTTGGAGGCTGGTTGCTTTGATAATTTATCGAGTTCCTTATTAGTGGTGAAGTTAAACCGTAACAGAATTAACATGATTCCACCCAAGATCTTCAAGCTACCTCACCTCCAATTCTTGTGAGTAACTAAGTAGTTAGATTATGAGATCATTTTTTTCTTACAGTCTTTTCCTTTTTAATTATTATTAGAACAAACCAGCAAACCAGTTTTGTAATTGTAAACTGTTTTTGTTAAAGGGAGCTTAAAAGAAACCGAATTAAAGTTGTGGAAGGTCTAACGTTCCAAGGTCTGGATTCCTTAAAGTCTTTAAAAATGCAGCGGAATGGAATCAGCAAACTGAAGGATGGTGCTTTTTTCGGCTTGGATAACATGGAAGAACTGTAAGTACTATGAACCTGCATAGGAGATTGTGAGGAATGGGGTCTGACTGGGGCTTTTTAGTGCCAAACAGCTAGGTTACTGCGGTAGTCATACCTAGTTACATTAGTTCTTTTTCCCTTCTCTGATGTGAAATAAGTACACACAAAGCTCTTTAAGTTTTATTAAACAACTGGCCTTTTTGCCATCATTCTCATAAACATTTTCTCTAAATAGTTTATGTTCCTTTATTGTTTTGGCTGATGAAATTTATTAGAATTTACCAAAAACAGGTATACTGTACCTCTCGGTGTCTTGATTTTATAGATCTGATATTTTAGATGGTCTTATTACCTCTAGCACTAAATCTTAAGTGTGATATAAATAGTTATTGAATAGAACTCGGGTTGAAGAAAAGTCTGTGTTTGGGTTGGGCTGAAGAAAGGTATATGTTTCTTTGAGTAAGACTTACTGAAGATTCACTGCACTACTTGTTACGAAACACACTTTCTGCTTTATTTCTCTCATTCTACAGAGAACTGGAGCATAATAACCTCACAGAAGTGAACAAGGGGTGGCTGTATGGCTTGCGAATGTTACAGCAGCTCTATGTGAACCAGAATGCTGTCGAGAGGATCAGCCCCGATGCATGGGAGTTCTGCCAAAGGCTGTCTGAACTGTAAGTGTTGGTTGGCATTTCGGTGGAGTCTCGGAGGCTAGAGCAGGTTGGAATAAATCATTCCCATGGCCAGTAATAAAATCTGACATCCCTCTTTATTAGAAGCTTGTCGAAAGCTCTAAATTTGTCGTGTAAATAGAATTAGCCTAGGAAAGTTGAATTAAAATAGAGTGAATTCCTTACCTTTCATGTTTCCTGTTTCCAGTGATTTGTCCTATAACCAGTTGACCCGCCTGGATGAGTCTGCCTTTGTGGGGTTGAGCTTACTGGAGAGATTGAACTTGGGGGACAACAGAGTCACTCACATTGCCGACGGCGTGTTTAAGTCACTCTCCAACCTTCAGACGCTGTAAGTACATCTGTCCTCTTTTTTTACATGTTAATATGTTGTGGTTCTTCGGTTCTATGCCTCGGTGTGAGACAGTTGTGCTTGTCTATGCTGTCTCTATCCCCATGCCTAAATCTTACTTATGTCTAGCCAGTTCTGTCTGTACTTTAATTCTGAATTAACCAACTAAACAACAAAGCATCTCTCGGGCCATTACTGTGGAACAAAGCACAGTTGCCAGCGCCAGGAATGCACATTTTCTCCTTCCTCTGACCTTGAGCCATGTTATTTCTTATTAAATTAAAATGAGCTTCGTTAGCTTTCATCTCAAGTACAGATATAGCTAAATGGGAAGAGCGATCACCTATCTCCTTAGTGACATTCTGTATATCTTGTAAAGAGAAAAGCTTGGGGCTTTAATATGAGACGTCTTAAGGAAACAAGAAATCGTCTTTATCCGGTGTTTCTTCCGTCTGGACCCGGTGCAGTGCAGTTGCACTTCCTCTGAGAACTGAGCAGGAGATTTTAAAAGATCCATACTTTTCCTTTTAAAGAAAACAGCGATTCCCCCTAAGCACATGGGTGTATCATGCTTGCTTCCCACGGGGCATGTTTAATTGCTGAGGAGAGGTGAAACTGTGGACATTACTATTGTCAGCCATTTTAGGTTCAGGGCCCAGGGGAAGGCTTGAGTCGCCCAGAAATCCCATTAGTCTGCATCAGATTTGTGGGCGATATCTCCTGTATCTTGAAATCCTCCTGCTTTTTGCAGGAACCTGACTGTAACTTTTAATATGCTAACACGTTTAATGGCTCTTAGCTAGGGTGATTGATACTCTTCGCAGGTTGCTTAAGTTATCAAGGCCAGCTTACTTCTTATTAGTTTACGAAAATCAGTTTTTATATGCTTATCGCAGATATTCTTTTTTCAAAAAAGAGTTATTCATCATAACTTAGCTGATAAAATAAAGATGAAATGATTGCCATGCCATAATGGTGCTCGGTGATGTAACGGTCATGTTGACTGACAGTCTGTTTTTCCCTGACATTTTTTTAGAAACTTAAGAAACAATGAAATTTCATGGGCCATAGAAGATGCTAGTGAAGCCTTTACTGGACTCACAAGTCTCACTAAATTGTATGTATTTAAAACATTTATGTGTCATTTATAAGGGTACATTGTCAGGAACACATTGTAAATGGGATTGGATTATATCTGTTTGCTGTGGCTGGGAGGTCTGAGCCTTTTGATTTATTCACTAAAGGAGGAAGCTTTTTTAAAAATCCAGTATATGTTTTTATTGATTTTTAGAGAGAAAAACATTGGTGTGAGAGAGAAGCGTCAATCAGGTGGCTCCCATACGCACACCAGCTGGGGATCAAACCTACAACCTTTTCTGTGTGTGGGACGATGCTCCAACCAACTGAGCTAAAGGAAGAAATCTGGTTGATTATTGAGTTTTTTGTTTGTCTTAATTTTTAAAATTTTTTATTTTATTTATTTATTTCTTTGTGATGGGGCAAAACAAAAGAGCGTTCCTATGGGCACATAAAGAAAAGTTGTTTATGGAACAAGAATTTCTGTTTAAGTGAAAAGATGCACTGGCAAATAAGAGTTGAACCAGTAATCTACTTAATCATGTGAGATTGATGGGAAATTGAATGAGAGGATTCTCTCAAGTAAGATTTTAGATCTTTTCCCATGAGAATTTCTTCAAGGCTTCACACTGGTCTGAATTTCTTTGACCGGGTGATCTTCCCCTAAGAAGGGAGACACTGGGACCATCATCCGGTCTCTCACATGAACACTGCCTGTGTCAGTGGTCAGGAAGGTCGTCCACAGGCACCTCATTGAGCGCGCACCTCTTAACAGAGGCCTTCATTCTCTGCTTTGCGTTGGTTAGTCATAAATGTTTGCCAATTTCATAAAAATGAATGTTTAGCTTATTTTCACCTTTTACAGGTAAATGTCTGATTTAATGAATTTAATTTTGTGTAGTGGTGCACTTTATTAGAAAGCTCTGTTTGTTTTTCAGAATCTTACAAGGAAATCAGATTAAGTCGATTACAAAGAAAGCATTCATGGGTCTTGAGTCCCTGGAGCATCTGTAAGTATGTTGCATATGTTTTTCTACTGTACACATAAGTTTTGCTATTAGCAGGGGTTTTCATGACTATTTAAAGTCTTTATAGAACTTATTTGTAGAAATGGTGACTAAGAATGTTTTGTTTCTCTTCATTTCAGAGATTTGAACAACAATGCCATAATGTCTATCCAAGAAAATGCTTTTTCTCAGACTCGCTTGAAAGAACTGTATGTAACTGAAGTATTTTTTTTTTTTTTTTTATCAATTAGATCATTACCCATGCTTATATTTAAAAGTGAGATGAATGTGATCCAGATGTTTTCAAAAGTACACAATTCAGGCAGGAAAAAAAAAGTGTCAACATGCAGTTATTTTAGTGGCTGGATATGATTTAAAAATAACCCAACATTGAAAAGCACACTGTGGCACCAGGACCTGTTTGCTTATAGTTGGCACTGATTCTTGTGCTTTATGTATACCCGACTGCTCCTTTCTTCCCTTCCCCCCCTTTCTTTTTGGATTATTGGAAACCTGTGTACCCAATCCTTACCCCTTGGGGTGGTTACACTTGGGGGATTATGTCATTTTTTTGGAGATGATCTAGCACTTTCAATATCATGGTAAAAAAGGATGTGAGGGGAAGGGAAAGAAAGAGAGAGAAATCGATCTGTTACCTCCTGTACATGCCCAAACGAGGGATGGAACCTGCAGCCTGGGTATGTGCCCTGACCCGGAATTGAACCTGCCACCTTTTGGTGTATGGTTACTTTAAATTGAAGCCATAGTTATAATACTTTTTACATCAACACTTACTTAAAACTATACATTTTTGATATTGTTCACAATACTTGGCGTAAATTTGAGGGGAGATGGGAGAGTTGCATATAAATTGAAAATATTTTGCATTGAAATTATATAATCATGGTAGAAAAATTAGAAAGTACCGTTAAACCAAAAGGGAGAAAGAGATACCAAATCCCTACTACCTGAAGACAAGGACTGTTAATATTTTGGTATCTATCCACATGCTGAGAGAATGCAGGGTACTCTCAGAGGCACTTGCGGGCAGGGTCGGTTAGCATGCAAAGGGTAGAAAGATGCAGAGAAAGAGAAGCGAAGGGCACTAAAGTGAATTCAGTGGTTTCTGTGGCCAGGCACTGTGCTAAATACTTTATTTAAAATTGTTTTTGAGGTAGGCACTTTCAGTCCCGTTTTCCAGAGAGAGAAACAGATTTTGGAGACATTCAGTATCTTGCCTAATGTAAGTAGCGGAATTAGTCCAGGCCTCCCGGGTCCAGTTCATACCTAAGAAACCGTAAATCAGATATTGTTCCTCTGTTCTCAGCCATCCCGTGGCTTCCCATCACACACAAGGAGAAACAACTCGAGTTCTTAGCTTATAAAGCGCTTGCAGGGCCTGGCTATCCCGGCCCCGCTCTGACCTCATTCTGTCACCACCCCTCCCTTTCCTCTGTCCGCCACACTCTTACCCGCAAGTCTTTTCGCTGTTTGCTGTCACTTTTCTTGGGTCTTTGTCCAGATGTCATCGCTTCAAAGAGCCTTTCCCTGACCACTCCACCTAAGCGTAGCTGCTACCTCAGGGCCATTGTCCAGCTTTGTTTTTCTTGATAGCACTTACTTTCTGCCATTATATTTGCATTTATTTGTTTTTTGCTTGGTTTAAATACAGAAGCTCTGTGAAGTATATAGTTCCACAGCCTACAATATCTGGCATGTAGTAGACTTCAGTATTCCTCTATGATTGAATGAGTAAATGTAACATAAGAATTCTTAAATGCATAAGATAACTTTTGGCCTGCTTAATTAAAAGCCTTGATAAAACATGGCTTTTGCTATTTCCTTAAAGACTGAAACTTCTTGGAATCAGATCTTTAGTACTTTATACCAAACTTTAAAAGTAAATGAGGGACCGTTAAAAGAAAACACTGATTTTTTTTTTTTTATATACTGGGTGGGGCAAAAGTAGGTTAGCAGTTACAGTACAAATACTAATAATGTAAGGATAAGTTGTTTCACACACACTTTAGCTGCTTTTGCCCCTCAGTATGTGTTATAGGCCTATTATAGACCACACACGGTTTTTCAGAGGTTCTCAGTTTAAGTCACAGCACACATTGGCACAGGCTGAAGTGTGTCCAGTCTCAATGAAGTAATTTGAAAAAATTATATCCTCCACAACAAAGATGTGTTTATGCTTCAACATATATATTAAGCTTTTTCCCCTAAATTTTTTCTGGGGAAATTTTTATTTTATTTATTTTATTTTCTTTAGCAACTGTATCATTTAGGAGTGCTTCCGGTTTTATTTTTATTTTTAAAAATATATATTTTATTTATTTATTTATTTTTTTTTAAATTTTTTATGGAGAGGAAGGGAGAGGGATAGAGAGTTAAAAACATCGATGAGAGAGAAACATCGATCAGCTGCCTCCTGCACTCCCCCCATTTGGGATGTGCCGCAACCAAGGTACATGCCCTTGACCAGAATTGAACCCGGGACCGCCTAGTTCACAGGCCGACACTCTATCCTCTGAGCCAAACTGGTTAGGGCTCTGGGGAAATTTTAAACCTTAAAGATTTAAAGAAAAGTAAAGGAACTTTCATATACCCTTTACCTAGATTCACCAATTAATTAACTTTTTGCTAAATTTGTTACCTATTTTTCTCTCTCTCCTCCTTCTCTCCTTCTCTCCCATTACTTCTTTGTCTCTCTCCACACACACACACAGATGGATAGATATATACACACACTGCATTTTTACTAAACAATTTGAGAGTAAGTTGAAAACAGCATGACAGTTCACTTCTAAAAATCAATCGGCATGTATTTCCTAAAAACAGTGATATTACCATAGCACTGTTGTCACACCCAGTGAAATATGCAGTTCGTACTCAAATTTCCCCAGTGTCAGAAAATGAGCTTTGTAGACTTATTTTTCCAGTCAAGGATCACTCATTTTGTTTGCTGTGATGGCTCTGTAGGCTCCTTTATCTAAAACAGGCCCCTGGCCCCCCTCCCCATTAGGATCTGCCATGGCACTGACAGTATTTGAGGAATTCACCTCACAGTCTCCATTTGTTTTCTCCTGGTTGGACTCAGGTTAAACATTATTTTGGCAAGAAAGATGCATAGGTATGTAGTCAGCTTTTAATGCTTGAAGAAACTTGGAATGAAAAGTAAAAAGCACTTCTTTTCCTCTCTGTTTCTGCAGGATTCTGAACACAAACAGTTTGCTCTGTGACTGCCATTTGAAGTGGCTGCTTCAGTGGCTCATCGATAATAACTTTCAACATTCTGTGAATGCAACGTGTGCACACCCCGAGTGGCTGGCGGGGCAAAGCATCCTGAATGTGGATCTGAAGGATTTTGTCTGTGGTTCGTGTTTTTGGTTTTTAAATTTTCTATATTACACTCTTACATCTTAACAATAGAATTTTTTATAAAGAGGGTAAAAGGATTAGAACTTGTCTTGAAATTTTAATATCGGTTTTTCTTTTATTCCCAGTAACTGCTAATGCTTAAGAAGTACATTCTAGGCGTCACTGTCAGTAAGGGATAGGGGAAAGAGATTGAAAACCTGGGTTCTGGTCCAGGCTCTGCTACTGACTTACATGTCTCTGAGCAAATCATTTGACCTTATCGGCCTCATCCTTCCATCTTTAAACGAGGAATTGGATTCTATATAGTCTCTTTCAGTCTTAATATGCCATCTTGTAAATAGAACACACAATTTTACATTACTTGTTTTAAAATCGAATTTGTAGAAGCAAAAATAAACAACTGACTTGTCTCCTGCCCTGTTATTTTCCCTTAGATGATTTTCTCAAGCCACAGATAAGAAGGCATCCTGAAACCACAGTTGCTCTCAGAGGTGTGAACGTGACTCTGACGTGCGCTGCCGTGAGCAGCAGTGACTCACCCATGTCTGCCGTGTGGCGCAAAGACAGTGAGATCCTGTATGACGCTGACATTGAGAATTTTGTTCGTTACCAACAGCAAGCTGGAGAGGCTCTGGAGTACACTAGTGTCTTACACCTTTTCAACGTGAATTTCACAGAGGAAGGAAGATATCAGTGCATCATTACCAATCACTTTGGTTCTAACTATTCTTATAAAGCCAAACTGACTGTGAACGGTAAGGAATTGTGCCCCCTAATATAATAGTTTTTCTGTAGTTGGGAGGATTTTCCATATTACATTTGAATCATTTGACTCAAGAAAATTAGGTAAAACCTGACATTTGAGGAGGATCATGTATAGTCTGAATTGTCAGCTTGTCCATTTCATCCCTAATTGGTCATTGGTTGAGGGGCAAATGTGAATTCCATGTCCCCAGAAGAGAAGCTGCTTTCACTGTTATTTATGCTTTTGAAAAAATTGTTTTGGAATTCTCCATTTTCTCCCCAGACCATAATTCTGTTCTGAGAACCGTGAAATTCATTCCTGGCGTTGTTCACAGGGCCTTTCAGTAGTGGCGTGTTTAGCACATTTCTAGGTCCTGTGATGATCATCGTCTTCATGTAGTCACACACAACCATTGTTGAAATTAGTGCTCTCTTCTCCATGGCTATAAAGCAACTTCTCCAAAACAGCTTCATCTATTTATTGCCCGTTAGATTGAATAACAACAACATTTTAGACTGTGCACTCAAAAGATGTGCTTACGTTTTGCTTGTGTGTTGTTTGCGATTTTTGAAGGCATAATTTTTTTTAAATTATACAGTTCTCTTGACAGCACTGTAGAGGGTATTGTAAGAAGCACCGTTTAGTCTCTTAAGTAAGGAAGTTAGTAAATACCAGGTTCTAAGATACGGAGTTCAGAAAGGTTTGTGGCCATCTGCTTAAGAAAGGTGTGTCATGTACTCCGGAAGGGTGATCATCACTTACTGCAGATACTCCAAGTCGAGAGAAAAGTTGGATTTTACTGTCAGCCCAGCGAGCATGTCTCCCTAAGAAATGCAGCATGACGACAGCTGTCATTGGCCCAGCAGGTTCCCCCTGAGTGTGTGTGTTCCCTCACTCCCTTCGCCTCCGTGATCTTTCCTGGAACAGAGATGCCGTCTTTTCTGAAAACCCCTATGGATCTCACCATTCGCACCGGAGCCATGGCCAGACTAGAGTGCGCTGCCGAAGGGCACCCTGCCCCGCAGATTTCCTGGCAGAAGGACGGCGGGACGGACTTCCCTGCAGCCCGGGAGAGACGGATGCACGTCATGCCCGAGGACGACGTCTTCTTCATCGCAAACGTGAAGATGGAAGACATGGGCACCTACAGCTGCCTGGCGCAGAACATAGCGGGAGGCCTCGCAGCCAGCGCCTCACTCACCGTGCTCGGTATGCTACTGCCGAGGGCCCGCTTCTGTAGGGGCCTTTTTATGGGGACCTTCTCTGGTCTTCATGGCGAGGGAAGTCTGAGATCTCAGCTGTGATCTCACATCTCGTCGCCTTTTTTGCCAGTTGTGCGGGGTTATGTGAGCCTAGGGAACTAGCGGCTCAGGTAGCTGACTTCTGGGGGAATGCTGAGGGCGGATTTAGAGAGGGTTATCACAGGAAATGCAAACTCAAGTCCCTAAGTGTATCTGTTATATCTCCCTCCGCACGGTGCCTGCTTCATACGCATGGTTTTTCTGCTCTCCAATAGTGAGTTTCAGTTGTTTTAGAGGGAACTGGAGACAGTTTAACTGTTTTCCCTCCAGGTCATTTACATTTGTTTTTTAAATACAGACAGAATGACCTGTCCTCTAGTTAGATTTCCCGTTTTCCACCCAGCGTGCTCCTTTTAATTTTATGCTCTAGTAAAATGTCTTTCCCCCACAGATTTCTCCTTCCAAGCCTTTTTTTTCTAATGACAATGCTTTTCTTCATGGATTTAAACTCCCGGGATATTCTATTTTTAGTTGTCTATTCTCCTAGATGTTAAGGTTTTTAAAAGTTCATTGGTTTGTGTTATTTATTTGTATAATAAAAAGATAAGTTTATTGTGTTTAAAATGTTAGTTATACAGAAAGTTAGAATAAAGGAGGGAAAGTCACTCAAACAGTTGTTAAAGATTTTGTCATATTCTGGACTTTTATTTTTATTTTTATGTAGTTATATATACCTGCTTTTTCCCACTTAATATTATCACTTGGTTACCCTGTTATTGGTCTTCATAAAATGTCACGTGGCTGTTTACTGAAATTTAATTAATTTTCCTGCTAGGTTTTTAGATTTTTCCCTTTATTTAAAAAAAATTACAACTAATTTTATAATAAATATCTTTGTGTAGAAATTTTTAAATTCCTTAGCTTAGGCTAGCTTGTCCAAGGTGGAATTACTGAGATAAGATTTAGATTTTTTAAGACTTTTGCTTTCCTAAAATACTAACTTGTAATCCTCCCATGAGTATATGGAATTACCTATTTCATTTTCACCTCATTAGTCTAATCCAGTAGGACTTACGGAATAAAATTGCTTAATATGACTTTTATACATTTTTTGTCAGAGACGCCCTCCTTCATCAGACCGCTGGAGGACAAGACCGTCACCCGGGGTGAAACTGCGGTGCTACAGTGCATAGCCGGAGGGAGTCCTGCCCCTCGCCTCAACTGGACCAAGGATGACGGACCGCTGCTCGTGACCGAACGCCACTTCTTTGCTGCAGCCAACCAGCTGCTCATCATTGTGGATGCTGGGCTGGAAGATGCTGGGAAATACACCTGCGTCATGTCCAACACTCTGGGAACAGAACGTGGTCACATTTACCTAAATGTCATCTCCTCCCCCAATTGTGACTCTTCCCAGAGCAGCCTCGGGCACGAAGACGACGGCTGGACTACAGTTGGCATCGTCATCATCGTCGTGGTCTGCTGTGTGGTGGGCACCTCTTTGATCTGGGTCATCGTTATTTACCACATGAGAAGGAAAAGTGAAGACTACAGTATCACGAACACAGGTGAGTGGCACCAGTTGACACCTTTGGCTCGTACTTGAATCAAGAATGTAGTGTAGAGTTTCCTGTAAAATATAAAGACTGGGGAACTTTGTTTACTTTTTACTAGTTTGTGATAGAAGGAAGAGTTTTTCTGTTAAAATATCCAATTTCCTTGATATAACAGAACCTCTCTCATAAATAGTTTTAAGAATTTGTGGACACTCCCTTAAAAGTTTACTCTTCTTCTTTGAATGCCTCCAGTCATTTCCATGGTAATTTCTCTGTGTGGACGGGAGCCCTTATGGCTGATCAGTCTTTCACACGCCTCACTCTGAAACGCTGTGAGAGGAGTTTCAGCCACAGACTGTGAAAATACCTACCTACAGATAAGATTTCCGACCTTAGGTTTTGTTTCATTTGGTAATACTATTACAATGATGCTTTGAGAAGTCTAGTGAGATGATTTTATGGGAAATTCTAGTGAGAAATGATTTTAGGGGAAAGTTTAAGTTCCTAGATATACATAAAACATTTTCCCGGCCAATAGTATCCAAGTGGAACACATTTATAAAGTGGTCTCTGAGCGTTGGCTTAAATTGCCTAACTTTATCTGTGAGTTACGGACAGATTTCTCTTTTGCAGAGGAGCTCAACCTGCCTGCAGACATTCCCAGCTACTTGTCTTCCCAAGGAACTCTGTCTGAGCCGCAGGAAGGCTACAGCAACTCTGAGGCGGGCAGCCATCAGCAGCTCATGCCTCCTGCCAACGGATATGTACACAAAGGCACCGATGGTAATGACTCTGCTGTCTGTGCTTACATTGCAGCCCTGCCTGCTTGAGTTTTTTAGTGTCTAGTTTTGCCCTTTAACCTGAAGCAGTATTTTTATTTTTACTTATTTATTTATTTATTTTTTTAAAATATTTTTTATTTCTAAATTCAAGTTAGTAGATCAAAGATTAAGAATCCCATACACACATGCACTTACAGATGAAATAATGCGTCTGCAATATTCAGGCAATCACATCCATTTTCTTCCTTCACTGTTAAGTGGATTTAATAGTGGATTTACTAGTGCTAGTGCTTTATAAAATTGGCTTCAATATTAATATGGTTAGAATATTGAAGCAGTATTTTTAGAGATACTCAAAACATTTGACCCTATGCAAACTAGGATAAAAATTGATTGAAGTCTTAAACAGAGAAGAAAGTCACCTGACAAGTAGGAGAAACACATCCTAAAGGGATTGAGAGCACTACCCAGCACAGTCTCCCAAACCAGTGCTGTTATGGGAAGGAGAAGCTCTGGAAATTAGGTGTCTTTTATCTCATTTCAGGCGTGAACCTCCTTCAGACCATGTCTAGGGGAGATTTGTTTCTCCTGCTGACAGGTACATAATCACTGAAGTTTAAACGGCAATGATGTTTTTCAGCGTATGTCAGAGAAATATGAAATGTTCCTTAATTGAACCCATGTTCTCAACACAGCTATTCTTCCCATTCCTCCCTTCCCACAGGAAGGTGAGTGAAGGGATAGAATCGGGTTTGGTTCCTAGTCCATCTTTCCAGCTCTGTGGCCGTGAACAAGTTAATTTCCTCGTAGCTAAAAAACACAATATTTTATAAAGCCTTTTCCTTAGGACTTAGCAGATTCCTTCAACAAATCTGTGTAGTATTTCAAATCCAATACAAATGAAAGGTCTATTCCATTTCTAGAGATTTTTTGTGCTGGGTGTTGACAGAACTTCTCTATGTAATTGAGAAGTTGGATTTTTTTGGTTCTTCATGAAAAAGGGGTATTTTTAGCTTTTAAAAAAATACATAAAGCTTTCACTCTGAAATTTGTGGGAAATAACACTGCTTTCTGGGTTAAACAAAACTACATTTAGATTTCTCCTAGGTCTAACATTTTGTTGCTTGATCGTGAATTAAGTACCTCGCTCTTTATTCCTCACTCTTTTTCATCACTCAGTTTTCAAAGCACATAGCAGCCCAGGGAGCTCACTGTTCAACTTTTACTTCTGCCAAACACAGACTTGTTGGGCAGGACTCTTGGCTCTCTCAGAAGTACTTTCCGCCGCTAGTGTTGCTTAACCTCTTGACTCATGAAAGTAATACGGGCTTTTGTGAAGTGAAGCGATCATAACTCCTTGTTCTCTGCTTCATTTTGCTTAAGCCAAACATGTCTTGTAGCACAGTGCCAGCCTTATTTTGGCTTCTTTGATTTGAGCATGACTTTATCAAAGATGGCTTAGTCAAGAGTGTGAGCTGGAGCCAGAGTGCCGAGTTCAGATTTCAACTCCTCCCTCTGGCACTATGCTTAGGCCAATTACTTAACTTCTCTGTGTTGAGTTAATCCATCTGGAAGAAGGGGGAAATAGTACCGGCCTTACAGGGATGTTGTGAGGATTAAATAGTTAATTTACAGAAGACCTTCGAACTTCACCTGGTCAGTAACGTAAGTGTGGAATAATTGCCAGCTATGATGATGATGACGGCAACGGTTGGAGAAAACTGTTGATGGTAAACCTGGTTCTTTAACTGAAGGCTGTTCGGCTTCTCTCTCATGTTGACCTCAGGTGGCTCTGGAACCCGGGTTATCTGCTCAGATTGTTATGACAACGCCAACATCTACTCCAGGACGCGAGAATACTGTCCGTACACCTACATCGCTGAGGAGGATGTTCTAGATCAGACACTGTCGAGCCTCATGGTCCAGATGCCCAAAGAGACGTATCTGGCACATCCTCCCCAAGATGCCACAACCCTGGAGAGCCTGGTGTCACCGGCAGACAGAGAGACGCCTGCCTTTCCCACCAACCACGAGAGGATGAGCGAGAAGAAACTCTCCTCCACACAGATGGGCAGCGGTGAGGGCACAGTGCTTCGTGTTCGTTTTGTTTTCACGTTCACCTGTTTGGTTTTCTCGGTCATGTAGTCAGCACTCTTGTCTGACAGGTCGCAGCAGTCCGGTTGGTGTAATGAGTCATTCGCTACTATTACATGGTGAGTTAGAGCAGGAGATTTTTAGAGACTAGAGTTCCAGGAAGTCTGCATCTTTTGGATGAAAACAGCTTTTGTGGGAAGAGCAAGACCACACCTCTAAAAATTCAGAAGCCACAGCTTTCAAAAAGTTTCACATAGGTGTTACTTTTTTACTTTCATCTTACTTAAATGATGGAGATCTGAAATGCTGAGGATATGTAATTAGATGCAGGTTTTTACCGAGAAGATGTTTAAATGCTTTATTTGGTTGCTGTGCTGTCAGGTAAGTGTTGAATGTCGGCATCCCTTGGCAGTGTTGGCTTTTTTCCGTGAGGCATGATCAGGGCCGTAAGTGGGAAAGCAGTTTGGGAGATGTCCTCAGACCCACATAGCCCGGGGCAAGGAGTACATGTTAGGTGTGCAGATGGAGCACCTGCTAACAACGTGGTCAGTAAAACAAGCAGAACAAAACTCTCTCAAGACCATTAAAGGTGTTCCACGAGCTGTCAGTCATCCTCCTGTGAGCCGAGGGCCAGAGCGCTGGGACCAGGGCGGGAGCACTGCAGTTTGCAGAGGAAGCAGTGTGGGGGGTGCTTCCGGGAGCGGCCTGGCAGGAGTGAATGGGCCCTTTGAGATGTGCTCGTGTTTTAATTAAGAGACCAACTCTGAAGATGTTAAAGAGGGTCAGGTCAGAGAAAAGTATATACTGTTACTAAAATCAGCCTCTTATCTTTAAAATTAATCTCAGTGTCCATGAAAGAAATGCACCAGCTTTAAATCTGTTTTCCCATAGACCCCGAAATGCCGTGTGTCCTTTTCCGAATGGGGTGTCATAATTGTTACTCTGGTCTGTAAGCGAGGAAATGAGCAGATGGGAGTGTGTGGGTGCATTGCTCATTCCTTTCCTAGGGCCTCTCGCTCTTTGCCACTCAGAGTGGTCTGTCAGCAAGAGCTTGTGGGAAATGCAGAGGTGGGTTCCCCCAACCAGGGAACCGCCTTTAGTCCCACCGGAGCCCAGCTGATTTGGATGCATAGAAAGCTCGAGAAACTCTGTTGGCGTTCACTCTTCAGATGGGTTTTTAAAACATTTTATTTCTGAGTATGTTTCCAGAATTTTTCAAAAAGCTTTTTCCAAAATGCATCCCCGTGAAGTTAACATAACTTTCAGTAAATGGTCTTTGGGGAGAGGGCTTCCCCCGCAGTGAATAAGGAGAATGAGAGATGCACACTCTCGAACTCAGAGGACAATCTGATTGGAAATCGCTGCTGTTGGTTATCTTATTGTTGGAATTAATTAGAATGCTAGAAGCTAGGGAAATTGTTTATTTTAAAGATAGTTTTTTTTTAAACATTTAATTGTTATTTAAAAATATAGAGGGTGGGGCAAAAGTAGGCTTACAGTTGTTCCTAGTGAAAACAATACAATAATTAATAAATAATACAACAGGAATAAATTTTGTTTCATGTTCTCACAACTTTAAGTCTACTTTTGCCCCACCCTGTAATGGCTTCTCTGAATCAATTTTTATTATGATTCATGCAACTTCCATTACAGTGTGAGTACTATTAGTCCCTTAGTCTGTTTCCATGTGTCTAAAGAGTTTTATTTTCAAGTTTTGGAGCAGCAGAATCATTAACAAGAGGCAAAAGTAGGAGACATAGTGCACTGATTCAGCAAATAACTGGTTAAGTTTGTTGAGTGGAAAGGTTTGCAAGACCATAGTGCCAGTATTCGTCTCATTTCTTTTTTTAGTTGTTGCTAAGAAGATGGCAAGTATATATTTGATCTCAACATCCTTACGCAGGAATACTGGGTGTCTTTATTTCGTTGAGGATTTGGGTAAAAGAAAAGTTTTAGGGAATTAATTTTGAGCTTGTCTTCCCCACTGACAGTTCTTGTCTTTGATTCTCAGAAACGTTGCCGCGGCCTCTGTGGACCGTGAGTGGAGAACGGGGCCCGCCTCCCGCCCCCTTTTCCCAGCAGCCCGTCCCCGAGCCCCCGCCACTCCACCAGCACGAGGGCCAGGCGGAGGGCGGTGCCGCCCGCTCCGCTTGCCCCCCGCCCTGCCACAGGCTGCACGACCACGCTTTTGATCTCAGCAGGACTCGGAACATTCAAGAGGGAAGCGAGGGCACATGAGATATTCTAGGATGAAATCTGGGCAAAGACCCGAATTCATTAATTTTGTATTTACTACCTCAGAGTTCAGAAGAAACCCCAAAGTCAGCATTCGCTTCTCTCTCTGTCTACAATTACATTTGACCTCACCAAGGTGGGCTGGGCGTTTGTGTGGGCTTACATCGGACAGAGAAGAGATAATGGCTGACCGCCCTGGGCACATGTAGTGCGCAGTGTGCGGAGGGGCAGAGGAAGGCACAGGACAGATGTGCCTCCTGAGGGTCCCGTGGGGATGTGCCCGGGTGCACGGCATATTAGGAAGAGTCTCATTGCTGCTTAACATGCTAATGGTCTCAACCCGCAGAACGATTCTGAGAAAACAGAATCTCTTCTGCCTTCCAAAGAACAAAAATAACTCTGGTCCTTGTTTGGACGTGTTCAGGGTTTAGCATGTAGTTGAGAGCGGATTGGTGAGGCTTTGATATTCAAAGTCTTTGGCAAGTATCCCAGGCTTGACCACTTGTTACCAAGTCAAGAAGTTTTGTATTCTTGTGAATCTTTTTTTTTTTTTTCTTTTCTCTTTGGGGGTTAGGGAGAGGATTCCTCTCGCCCTGGAATCTCATTGTAAATATATGTGCATTTATAAATAATTTTTTTGTATTCATTGAACATAAGTGTTGGTTGCAATGTAAATATTTTTGATATGCCAAAATTATATATGATATCTAGTTATAATGTTGACAGCAGCTTCTCAGACCACAGACAGATTTTGTATATCTTGGTTTAGTGATTTTAAAGACTGTTTAAAGTTTTAAAAATGTATAGAGGCAGGGTACCCATGACTGGGTACACACAAACACAGTCTTGGTGTAATTAACCACTTACTTCATACCTAAAGGTTCATACAGCTACTCATTTGCCACCTGTTTACAAGTGCCAGGTACTATTTCCTGTCTAGGGTAAGAAGGCTCTTTGAAAACACTAGCAGTCCTGTTGTCACCACATGTGCATAAATACAGGAAAACTCGGGGATATCTTCTTCCAGCAAAGGATTTAGTTGATGAGGAAACCAAAGATCGTTTCTTTTCGGTTTGTCTTTTATAATGTCCCTTCGACCACTGCACAGTGCATCGTAAGAAGGGAAAAGGCTTTTGGAAGTAGAAGGACATGCGGAAAGGTTTACACTAGAGAGCTTGGAGTGGTCCTTGTTTTGTACAAGTGATTATTTAAGCCAAAAAGTTTTCCTGAATTTCTGATAGCAAAAGCTTTTTAAATTTTTTTTATGTAAACAAAGGACTTCACACCAATGGAATGGAGCGGACTGAAGTTCTTTGTGCTTTCAGATTTCCTTACATAGGCAGGCGGTCAGACTCTCCTCTGCATCTCATAAGTGCTAGCCATGTACTACACACCCTGTCACTTCAGTGAAAATATCTAAGTCATCGTGCATTTCTAACCTCACATAATTTCTCAGCTTCTTGCTAGAATTTCATGCTTGTTTTCAATCCCCAATCTCCCCTAGGCAGCAGCACCTCTTGAGCTGTTTTGTACCATCATGCCTTTCTTTTTCCTTTTAAAACGATCAGCCTTTCTTCATTTTCACTTTGAATTTCTTAAATATCTTTCCCCCATCACCATTTAGTTTGGGATCCCTCTTCCTGCTTACCAGGCTGTAGTATAATTTGTACTGACTTAGAATCGAGAGACCTGATTGCATTCCTCGCTCTGCCATTTACTGGTTGTGTAATCAGGGGCCAGTCCCTTTCCATCTCAGCCTGTTTCCTCATTTACGAAATGAGGGCGCATTCCGGAGGCTCTCAAGCCCTTTCCCACTGTAACAGTCTATGAACCTGTGATCCCTCCAGGAGCCAAGGAGGATTATGCTACTTTAATAAAAAGCTGCTTTCATAGATGTTTATTAAGTAGACCAAGATGCTGCTTGCTCGGACTTGAGCCAGATTTATTTCCTCTGTAGCAGGAGTTAATGGTATAAGCTACACTCCTGGGAAGAAATACTCTGCTTCTAAACTGTGTCAGTAAACAAGGACACTGGACTGCATTGACAAGCACCAGTGCACTCTAGCCAGCAGCTCTGAGCGCTGGTGTCGGAGCACTCCACAGAGTCTGCATCAGTTGGAGGGTGTGGCACCGCTAATTTGTAACCAGTGTGTGACCTTTCTGCTGTGTCCACAGTTATCCCAACAATGACGGACTCTTTCTCATATTCTGATAAACTTTCTTGAGTGGAAAAGGTGGAGATAGAGCCAGACCTCAAGTGAGCATCGGCTGTCTTGTGTGAGAGGACGAAACAGGCTGGACCAGTGCCCTAGGAACGTGGCTACCTGGGTGCCGCCGTGGCGTTGGCAGTGGCCATGCTCTACAGTGTCTCTCCTGGGTTTTTGTCAACTCCCAGAGCTCCCTAGCTTGTCTACATAACTAAAAAACTTACCTGAATACCACTCAGGAATTTGTTTAAATGTGAATAACATACCCCCGGTCTTTAAAGAAAATAATGAATTTAATAAATTCTTTTTTTTTTTTTTAAATATATATTTTATTGATTTTGTACAGAGAGGAAGGAGAGCGACACAGAGCTAGAAACATCAATGAGAGAGAGTCATCGACCAGCTGCCTCCTGAACACCCCCTACTGGGGATATGCCCGCAACCAAGGTACATGCCCTTGACCGGAATCGAACCCGGGACCCTTCAGTCCCCAAGCCGACGCTCTATCCAGTGAGACAAACCGGTTTCGGCGAATTTAATAAATTCTAATCCTGGGAGGAACCCCCGAAACTTTTCATTATTGCATCTGTTCTTGACCAAGCAGCATTGAGCTCTACTGTAACCCAGATCAGTGGCTCAGCAGTGTTTCTTTCCAGCATGTAATGTCCGCCTGTCGCCTGTTTAACCAGGGATGTGGCTGAGCGAGGTGAACAAAAATGCTGGAACCCAATTACCACTTCCTCTCAGGAGCGATGCATCAATTCTCTTCATTTGTTTGCACCCCTCAGACCGATTCTTCCAGCCTGCCTGGGAGAGCTAGCCTTCTTGAATTCCATCCATACGGCACAGGCTCTACCCCTAAGCCACTGGCTTTCTGTCCTCGGCAGCTTCGACTGTGCTGCCCCTGGAATGCAAGGTCCTCCGAGGGTCCAGCCCCCGGGCAGGTCCCTCTGGGTGCCATCCCAGAATGCTTAGCATGTGTTTCCCTGTACGGTAACGTTCATGTTTAAAAACAGTTGCCTTCACATTTCCTATTGGGAGATTGTAAAAGGAACACTAAGATGTTAAGCAACTTAGACTGAGCCATTTTTCTATGAAAAAGGAGATATGAAAAAAGTCTTTAATTACTTAAAGGGTGGTTCACTTTTTTGGTTCCAGAGGACCTGGGTGATACCAGTGGGGCAACAGCTACAGGAGGTGCGGAATACACTTGCCGGTAATCTATAATAGTAGAAGTGTAATATGCTAAATAGACCCGGCAGCCGAACGACCTTCCGGATGAAGCCGGGCCTGCGAGGGCCCAGACCTCTAGTCCTTTATAAGCTAGAGGTCTCTAGTGCTTTATAAGCTCACTCGCTAACCTGTTAGGTTTGTCTGACAGTTGGAATAATCAGCCTTTTGGGGGGAAAAGTACACACAGAGGCTGAAATCATCTGCTAATAACTTTGAGGAAATTTCTGCCTTGAGATGGAATATGGGCAAGATGATTCTCATTTTATCATTGGAAATCTCCAGAAAAACCTTGCCCTTCAGAATCCTTTATATAAAGTATAGAGCACTTAAGAATTTTTCTTAAAGAGTTTTGTGTTTTGGCCTATTCTGTGTTAATGGCAGAAAACATGAAAGCCTGGGCTTATTCTGCAGAAATACATAATTGGTAATTAACACAGACAGCACCACCATAATAAAAAGTTTAAAGCCTATAATGTATTATATCCCTCCCCTTTACTCTTTATTTAATTTTGGTCCCTATTTCTTCTTATCAGTGGCTCCATATAGAACGAGGTTGGAATTTCAGTGTTTAATTTTATACCCAGCATTTCATTCGAGTGTGTGGTGGCCTTTCCTAATCACTTGACTGTCCACAGGAATGCCAGGAGGGTAATGGAGCTACAGAGGTAAATTTGCTGTCATTTTATGCTACGTCTTCTGTTTCCTATTTTCCTTCTTGGAGCAGAGGGCAGGTAACTGTGAAACGGTCAGCTAAGGCTTTTTGGCAATCCGCTAGGAGTGTTTAGTTTTCCTATTACACGGTCTCTTCCCAGTTGAGTTTGGCAGATGTTTCCCCCTCCTGCTTTTCCTAACTTTTTTGTTGGGAGTACAAGCTAAACCAACACCAGTTGGCTTTCATTTTCTCTCTGTTTTGGGCACTGCCTTGGTTGTTGCAAAAATAACAAGTTCTGAATTGAGAGATATATTACAAGCTGCTCTTATCAAAACAACTCCTGAAAGCCCATGAATCACCTGAAGGTTTTATGGGCATTAAACTGTGTGTGTGTGTGTGTGTGTGTGTGTGTGTGTGTGTGTGTGTGTCTTTGAAGAGTAATATTTGGACCTGTGCCCTCAAGGTTGTATTGCTTATCAGTCCTAATAATCTGCACCAATGGGTGGGGTGAAGGTGAAAAACAGGTGTAAGGAGTATAATTATCAGCTGTAACTGTCTTGTACGAGAAATTGGTCATCATTGATCAACTGCTCAGAATCTCTCTCAGCTACTTGAAGTGGCCTCTTGATCCGCAGACTGTTTCTATGTTCCCCCTGTGCTCCCCCCCGCCCCCCCATCAGAGAATGTCAGTCTGCGCGGCCCTGGTACCAGATGTCCCTGAGGAGAGTTGTAAGCCAAGTTGTTCAGTGCGGCCCTTTCCTCGTATCTATTTATATTTTCTCACACACGAGAATGTATATTTTATAAAGCATGTGTTTGTCTACTTGTTTGTTGTAATATGTCTTCAATAAAGCTAAAATATGTTACGATTTTCTGGTCTTTTCTTGCCTAAAGTACAGGAGGAAATGGTA